AACGCTTGTGGGCGATGAGCCACATAGACCCCCCAAAAAGGTTCTTTCGCTTCATGCTCTCCAGTCTCGGCTTTCACTTTGTTGTAAACCGCGCTGCAGGCTCCAGGGCCAGTTGGTGATCATCTTCCTTCCGACGGGCCTCCGCCGATAATAAAGGCGCCAGGGTGAAGAAAACTTGACCAAAGCAGTGGGGGGCTTTTACTGTAGGAGGTGCAGACATGTCTCCTTCCGTTGGTTCTTTTCGACGACGCAAGCAAATTGACATAATGTTTTTTGGACCTGTCGCGGAGAGTGCCACGCAGGCAGCGGGCCCAGGAGTGCTTCGTGGTCCTCGCATTCCTCCGCCTCCACTGGCCGGGGGAAACGTGACTGGAACTGCCAGGTGGCATTGTTCCAAATGTTCACTTTGTTGTTCATTGTTCGAGCGTTTTTGTGAAGTGCATGTTGGTATATATAAGGGTGGAGGGCGCCAAAGTTATTGACAAACCAGGGAATACGTGCATGTATGGTGTATCGAATAGCATGTGCAAGGTTGGACGAACAGTGGTCGCTACTTTTGCTATTTTTGTTCCACTTGTCACTGCGGCGCTTGCCCAAAATTCTGAGTATATATATATATACCGTAAATGGGTTTCGTTTCTTTTTCCTTTGCTTTAACAGCTACCTTGAGCTGTAGGCGTGTGTTTCCTTTTGTTGGCACTTCTCTGACGCAATTGAAATCCACCCTGGGCCAACTGTTGGCGCAGAGTAGTGTTGTTGATTGGCTTTGCAGGCGCCACAGCCAGGAGAAATTCATGGGATTCATGGTCCTGACAATCCTCCACAGGCTCGAGAAGACGACCGAAACTCGAAGCTGTATCTAGAATCCAGGAGCAAGAAGCTACTAGGGGCTCCTGGCCATACTACTAGGAGCAAGGACGCTACTAGGGGCTCCTGGCATCGCTACTAGGAAGAAGGGCCTTACTAATAGTAACAGCTACTGTGACTCTTAGCTCGGAGGAGAGCGGAGACGGACCTTTTTGTTTGTCAAGATTGTTCAAGCTCCTATGGGAGGGGTGGACGATTCAGAAATCCTCCTCAACCCACTCATCATTCAGACAATGCCAAAGATTGGCAGAAAAAACAATGTAGTGTGCCAGGCTTCTGTTTGGTTGGGTGCTGTTTGGTCCCGTGTCAAGTGTTTATTGCTTGGTCCTGTGGTCCCTTTGTCCTAGTCTGCCGGGCCCCCCCCTCCGGGTCCCTTGTGTCCTCCCTGGTCCCTTCGTTGCTACCTGCTGTTGAGTTGTAATGCTGGATTAATCTGCAAGCACGCGCTTCTGACATGATGTCAGTTTCAGCATTGAAGGTTCCGAGTGAGATGCAGCCAAGACCACTGAAGCCATAGTGAACACGACCAAGACTTGGTTTGGCAGTAATGACAACCCGCTCAGACAAAGAAACGCACAGTGCATGTTGTTAGTAGCACACCTCGGAAAATACATGTGAGGTACAGGCAAGAGCTTGATTTGGGTGTTTGCTTGACATGTCCTAGTCCTAGCCTTCATGTGAGCAGACCCAAGCAAGCCCTATGTGCCAGTTTCGGCGGTGAGTGCGCAGCACAAGCATGAGGCTACGCCAAAGCATGCGTCCGTCACCAATGACCAGAAGGAGCTGCAACAGGAGGAGGTGACCAAGGTGCGCACCAAATGAGCAACACATCCACATTCACATGTTAATCATACTATGCTTCAGAAGGCTTTCCTAGCCCACTTTAAGAAACAACAAGATCCCTAGCTGCTAGGGTCTAAGTGTAAGATTTTGCCGGACGGGCATTCTCGCATTCTCCCCTTAGAACATCTTAGAACCATGTTTTGTGTGACATTTTCAATGACTGGCTTGAGAGGTTTGCAGGTTGGCAGCCGCTTGCGCACTTGCTTTGCACTTCACATCCACTCTACTGTACATGACCTGCAGAATGCTCAGCCGTTGCCGACAAACACCGCAGAAAAGCCGCTAACGCCGCTTTTCACGGTGCCAACGGCTGGACTTTGATGCTAGCGTTCGTGCCTGCTGCCGCCAGCCTCCGCCAGCAGTGCGTTTTGCGCCCTCTGCTCGACCTTTGTCCTGTGCTTGAGACCGTGCCAACAAGTTCAGCTTCACCGCTGCAAAGCCACACCACAGCTTTTACCCAAAGCAGCATTTGCACACAACACAGTCAGTTCTTACAAGCCATAGCCGCTACACAGACCAGCGTATAGACAGCACAACTTTTTTTTTTTTACACGAACCAACCTTTACACGCCACAGCTCCCACAACAAAGCCCCGACACCACGACCACTGTGTATACCTGTACTTTTTGTGTTTCTTTTTGTCAATTTTGCGAGGAGTTGCAGCTGTTGTTAGGTTCTTCACTTAGCATGATGATGAATGTGCCAGCTGACACATCCAGACGCAAGCGAGGGTGAACCTGACAAAGTGGGAACTGCGGCTAAATTTGGCACCAAGCGCAGCCGAAACAAAAGAGCGCAGTGTAAATTTGTTAGCGCTTCGGAAACTGTCGTCACCGTGGCCAGGAAACAGCAGCGCCGCACCGGAGCCATGAGGCCCCGGCAGTGTGTTTGATGTGAAGTGGTGTTGTCAGCGCGTGCCTGGCATCGCGTTGCCAACATTGCAACTCCAGAAGTGAGGCATCTATGCAATTTTGCGTCCAATTTCGGCCTTCAGAAAGTGCTATGCATGTTGTGGCAGCCGGCCTCGTGCTCACCCTGAGGCACAGCAACCAATGATGTCAGCGGACTATTTGACACAAATTGGCCTTGCCCCTTGGCCATCACAACACCTTCGTTTGAGCGCTAGTTGCTAGTTGGACATGTCCTAGCCTTCATGCGAGCAGACCCAAGCGATGCCTATGCGCCCGGTTTGGTGGCGTGTGCGCTGCGCAAGTATGAGGCTGCGGCAAGGCCAAAGCATGCGTCCGTCACCAACAACCAGAATCAGCTGCGACAGGAGGAGGTGACCAAGGTGCGCACCAAATGAGCAACGCATCCACATGCTAATCATACTACACTTCAGAAGGCCTTGCTAGCCCAGTGGCAACGAGGCAACCCATCGCAACCGAAGTTAGACAGCGCATTTGTTGGGTGAGCTTCATTTGAGTGTTTGTTGGCATAAATCCTTTGCACCCAGTTTGGCGGTGAGTAAGCAGCACAAGCATGAGGCTACGGCTACGCCAAAGCAAGCATCCGTTGCCATCCACCAGAATGAGCTGCAACAAGAGGAGGTGAGCGGAGCCAAGGTGAGCACCAGACACACATGCATACAACACTTCAAAAGACCTTCCAATTCCTGAAACTGCAAGCTGATCAGTGTTTGCGGTATCTGGATGAATGTGGTGATCCTGGTCCTGAGGCGTTTGACCAGCCAAAGGCAGCATTCGGTGGTCACACTGTAGCTTGGCCGCGCAAAGAGACACAAACGAACACAAACGCACACCATGTGTAGTGACAGTGTGGGGAAACCTTTACAAGAGACATTTAGTGTGAAGGGAGATGCATTGTCAATTTTCTGTGGAACAAAGTTCCGTCACAGGTTGGCAGCCTTGCAGCTGGAGCAGTCTGGGTCTGAGCAGATGATTTGGAGCGGTGGGGTGGATAGAAAGCCAGTCTCGATTCCGGAAGATGGAAGTTTTCAGCGGAATCCAACAGTCTAAACTGTCTGTGCCCATGGAGAGGCTTGAAACAGCAAGAGGCTAGGTAAGCATGTGAAGGACCGTTTCGACACCCGTTTTTCACCACCGAACTCCCAGTGCAGGTCACTGCGCGACAGCGCGAACGAGCTTGCCCATAGAGAAGAAACATGTGTGAAGATCATAGCTAGGTAGCGTATAGTAGCTTGACATGATCGTATGTTTGGATGTTCCCGCACCGTAGCTTGACTCGAGCGCTTTGCGGTGAAAGACCGCGTTCTTTTGCCACTGCTTTTTCTTTTAGGTTGACACTCCGCATTGGTAGCGGAGCTCCTGATCTTTCAATCGGGGCCATGGCTGAGCCTGCTGGCTCAGGGCGGCAGCCCATCTGGACTAGGAGGACACCTCTTCTCAGACCCAGGCTTCAGGTGCCTTTGGATCGTGGCAGCTCGCGAGCCGTGAGATGCAACAGCATCCCACTGGGCCAAAGAAGCCACCAGAACCAGCGCCTCCTCCTCCAACTCATGGCAAGAAGACTTCAAAAAAGTCAAGCCCTCCGAAGAAGTTACTGTACCTGTGAAGAAGCAGCCTGAGCCTGAGAAGGGCAAGAAACAGGCCCCTCCTTCTTCCCACGCGTAGATGATGATGATGATGATGATGATGATGACGATGACAGTTAGGATGAGGAGGACGAGAGTGACTCATCCTATGGATTAGGAAGAAGAAGAACTTACAGATGGTCCTAGTGTGCCCAAGGACCTTGTTGGCACAAACAGCGGTTCTGGATCTTTTGGTGGACGGCCCAGGTGGTGACTGCAGCTCACTTTGGCTTCGCTGCCTTAGCCAAGAAGAAGACGGCTCCCAAGGACACAAAGCCTTCATCCGGACCTGTGTCAGGAGCAGCTGAGCCATCGGAGCGAGGGACTGATACCAGGTACAGTTCTAGTGATCGCAGCCGCGCAAAGCTGGGACAGGGTGCCAGGTGGTCCCAACAGGTTTTCAAACTGTGGAAGATGCCTATGGAGAAAAGGCGGACGAGCGCTTCGAGGAGAAACAGTCCGAGTACACTGCCAGCGGCTCCTACAAGCCAGCGGGCATTGAACGGGTACTTCGTTTCAGGTGCAGTCAACTTCGCTTAGATGAGCGGACTCAGGCTATCAAGATGATCGCGCCGCAGCACCCCGCCGACCCACCACACTCATTGGGCAGATGCCGAAAACGAGTATGACGAGGAGTTGGAGGACTCTTTTGGCGATCCAGATGCTAAGGTCTGGAGCGTGAGGTGCTCATGGCAGAGGAAGACATGCCCGAAGAAGAGGACTATGAGGATGATGATGCCCAGTATGAGGGTATGCAGATGATGAAGATGATGAAGACGACCTGGAGGGAGCCGTTCAGGAAGCGTTCTTAGCCGGTTGGACGGCAAAGCGCAAGACAGCCCTGCAGCGCAAGGGCCCTGGCTAGAACGGAGAATGTAAGTCAAAGAGCAAAGACAAAGGAGGGCAAGCAACGCCCTCCAGACAATGGGCCCCGATGCAAGGAAGAAGAACTACACGTGTGACGGCTGTGGCGAGGCCACTGGAAAGGAGATGAAGTTTGCCCCAACGTCAGGTCAGGTAACTCCTGCCACGTAGCCGCAGCCAGTTGGTATTGTGTGCCTGGCTGGGGGTGGGGCCTCACGCCTGAGTCTGAGATGTTGTCCAGGGCATCCGAGCATCTTGAACCAAGGCCAAAGAGTGAGGATCACTGATCAGGCGGTGGCCTGGAAAGAGACATGACTTCAAGCGCGAAGTTGATCTGGACCTTCCAACAAGCCAACTCTGCAGGTCCAACCAGTCCACGCCACTGGGAAACCCTGTTGTCCGTGCTAGTGTTCTCCACCATGGCAATGCGCACCCAACTCTTGCGATCATAGATCTTGGATGGAATAGATATAGGCCTTTGTAGGCAGTATCAGGCTTCCAGCCCTAAAGCGAAAGTGTTCTTCAGCATGGTAGTAGTGCTAGCCAAGGTGGTTGGATCTCATCATGCCACATCTTGCCGGCCACGGTACATGGCCTGGAGGCATGTTCATTTGCATCATTGCCTCGTGATCCTCTGGCGCTGCCGGCTCACCTCCTTGGACGTCGGTGCTGCCGATGCTGTCATCGCTCCATGGACCCTGGAATGGTAGAGGACCCTGCGCAACTTGCAGTCTTTGCATAATGTGCGTTGCTCCCCACGTTCATACTTGCGGCAACAATAGCAATGCTCCTGGTCGGCGTTCGGGATGTCTGATGCCTCTTGCATGGTGGTTGTGTACCTGACCTCACCTTGCGCTGCTGTGGACGTTTCATCATGGACCGCTCAGGTGTTGAAGAGCGTCCAAAGATCTCAAAGACCTCCCCCTCTTGATCCTTCTTCAGCTGCTCGTGGAGGATTTTCTTCTCGTCCTTGGACATCCTGGCGGGCAGCTTCAAAAGGTCGTCGGTGCTCAGGCCAACATCCTCATCCACGCGATGGGAACACGCTGACATTCCCCACGCTGGACAAGAACAGCCTTGCATGTCCCCACCTCTCCAGCAGCTTGCGCCGGACGGGCTGCCGCCACAGTGCTGAATGAGCATTTGTGCGGACCGCCACTTCTACGGTCGACTGGTGATCGATGAGAATCGGCGGGCTGCCTTGCAGGTCTCCGGAGCCCTACAGAATGGCAGGCCATGCTCGACCCAATGGTGGCCCGCAACCACCTCGAGTCAGGTGCCTCTGTCTGATCTTTTCTGGTTCCAGCTCACCGCCAACACGGGTGAAGAACATCCTGAGAGAAACTTTCTGCAGGTCTCTGGCTATATCTCTCAAGGACACGGAGGAAGAGCGAAGGTTAGAGAAACACAGGAAAGGCCTACGGAAGGCACAGCGCCTGGTGGTGTACGGTTTGTGCGCTCGATCATGTCAACATCCTTTTCTGGCTATGTGAAGGTCATAGCTAGGTAGCGTATAGTAGCTTGACGTGATCGTACGTTTGGATGTTCGCGCGCCGTAGCTTGACTCAAACGCTTTGCGTTGAAAGGCCGCGTTCATTTTCCACTGTTTCTTCTTTTAGGTTCGCTTCCCTGCGCACACTGCAACATGAGCAAGCCAGACCTTTTTAAAATCATGTTTGACTCTTTCCATTTCCTCACGCTAGTCACTAATTAGCAGGCACGCGCTTCTGGCGCGATAACGTTTTGTAATGAACCAGCTGAAGCATGTTCCGAGTGAGATCCAAGCAAGACCACTGAAGCCAGAGTGACCCTACAACGATGGGGCAACTGTGGCTTTGTGGCACCAATCACAGTCGAAACTGAGAAGCGCATTTTGTAGGAGGAACTTCGTGCAAGTGTTTTTTTTGGCGGTGAGTGCACGGCACAAGCATGAGGCTACGCCAAAGCAAGTGCCGGTTGCCATCCATCAGAATGAGCTGAAGCAAGAGGAGGTGAGCGGAGCCAAGGTGCGCGCCAGACACACACATATTACACCTGCAATTCCGCTTCTCCACTTGTCCACCTCCCACAGTGAAACTGCAATCTGACCAGTGTATGCGGACGCATGTGGTATCTGGATGAATGTGGTGATCCTGGTCCTGGCCCTGAGGCGTTTGGCCGGCCAAAGGCAGCGTTTGGCGGTCACACTGTAGCTTGGCGATGCAAAGAGACACAAACAACGCACACCATGTGCAGTGTAGGAAAGCTTAGCAGGACACATTCAGCGCGGAGGGAGATGCGTTGCAAGATCCTGGGTGACAGGCAGTTGCCTCTCAGGTCTCTAGGAAGAAGAAACATGAAGAAACCACGCTTTGTATGTGTATGTTTGACCCATGTTTTATCCATTTCCATTTCGTCAGACTAGTCACTAGTTGGCATGCACGCGCTTCTGGCGCGATGACGTTTTTTAATGAATCAGTTGAAGCGTGTTCCGAGTGAGATGCAAGACCACTGAAGCCAGAGTGACCCTAATGATGGGGCAACTGTGGCTTTATGGCACCAATCACAGCCGAAATGTGAACAGCGCAGAATCCACACGCACAAGTTGCACGTAACAGGATTGTATACCTCTTGTACATACATCAATCGCACATTTGGCTCAAGGGCGCCAAAGAAGCGAGTGTCTTGAGGTCGACCGGCGCTTACGCCGACTCGCAGGTTATCAGCCGTAGCGTTCTGCTACGAGCTGGGCTGAGAGACTAGCTGGATTTCGAAGAGAGAATCTTGCCTAGACCGCTCAGTCTCGACGGCCAACTTTCTGAGATGTTGGGCACGGATGAAATGAGTGGAACGACCTATTCATTTGCTGCCGCGCCGGGTGCCACTTCGCAGTTGACACCAGGTTCACAAGTATCGGGACATGCGCTTGAAGATGCTGCAAGGCAATGCCCTCAAGACTGACGAGACCTTCGCAGAGGACAACGAGAACGTTGACACCGCGGAATGCTTCAAGGTCTACATTGCCGAGATCAACGTTGGAAATGACCAGAGGAGATATGAGACAACCTAAGAAGAGCATTGTCAAAGAAACGTTGATGTGATCACGTGGGTTGCCTGCGGCTGGCGTGGAAGAATCCCTACCCGCTCTGATGCCGACATGAATGTCATGCTACGCGAACAAGCTTTGAGGAGTTCAGATATGATGCAGATAGACAAATGTACGAGATGTGCGAACACTGCAACCATCTGGGAAAGATTGTCGTAGATTTCCAAGAGGAAGATGAAGGTGCCACTTACCGAATCGAAGAGCTCGAGAGAGGAGACTCACCATGGCTCAAGAAGGGGCCACTCACATGGCATATCAATATCAACACTTCGAGAACATGACAACGTTAAATCTGAAGCAATTCACTTGTGAGGCGACGGATGATCGATATGAATGACGAGTTGAACCATGTTGTTCATGGTGCACATGAGAGTCACGAGCAATCCAGAGAGTTTCAGATCAAAGAATTCTGAGATTGAACACATTGCTCATCAGATGTATCAACAAGTACAGAATTTGCAGTTCGAGAACTAACAAATTGTGGCTGTTTCCCAAAGAGAGAGAATGGAGCAATTCGATCAAGGAAGAGCGATCGTGGAACACGGTTGCCAAGCATCACATGGGAGATCCTTGAGAGACGAGATTGCTGCCACCAACTACATCCGGGATCAGAACAAGATGTTGACTACCAATGGGTTAGCTGAAAGCACTCATTTGACTGAAATGCAAGCTATGTTACTTGATGAAAGGACCACGATGGAGAATGCAGAGGTGAGGCCCCACAACAAAGTTCGGCAGATTGAGTTCAATTCTCAAATAGAATGTCAAGAAGCGTCCAGATTGGAAAAGGCATTTGAAGCCCACGCTGAATCTATGAAGCGGGAGAATAGTAGGAGAGCCTTCGTGAGGTGAACGTGAAACTGAGAGAAGCGAATGAACAACTTCGAGTCAAGCCAAAGATCGAATTGTCCGACGAATCTACGCCCTATGCCCGTCTTTGTGAACAATGCAAGCTGGAGAACACAGATGCAAAGTAACGATGAAGCAAATGGCTGAAAATGCCAAGTCCGATACTGAGATGCGAAGGGAAGTAGACGAGCTCAAGAAGAAGCAGAAAGACCCATCGAGTGAGCATTCGACTGGTACGAAGACCCATCCTGCTATGATCAAGGAAAAAGCTATTGAAGAAGTGCAGGAACGGGTCGAAAATTTTGAGGAACCGCGCAATGTCGACAAGGAGGCCATTCAGTTCTTTGAGAACGAAGCTGATAAAGTATGGATCCTTCGAGATGAATATCATGAATGGTGATGAATTACATGAAGCAGCCGAACATGAAGAAGCCAAAGAAAAACTTAAACACGAATTGACTGAGACGTCCGCATCCTCTTCATCTGTTCACTCAGTGATGTCAACAAGTTCGTCATCTTCGAGGGCTCCTCGAAAGGAATCTGACATGATCTGTGTTCCACCATGGCCAAAGGTTTCTGATCTATTATTGTGGAAAGCCAACCTTGTTCAGGCTGTCATCTGCTACCAATGGCTTGGATCAGAAAGAATGGATCGAATAGATTGGAAACCATTGGAGAATCCAGATCAGGACTGGGTCCTGGAGGAGAAAAGTTTGAACCCATCGATGCCAAATTGGGCCTTGCTATGGGTACAGTGGTGACGGATGCCAAGGATGATGGAAGTGCGGTGAATATGCGATTGGGGACCAGAACCGGTCAGGTGGGGAAGAATGTTGAATTGATCAAGGGAAGAGAAGTTTTGTCCCTGATCATCAAGAACTTCAGAGCGGCGTCTCATGTAGAGATCCTGTTCAATGCACAGCACACCAGCGACCGAAACTTGGCTCAATTCTTCCATCCTTTGCAGGAGGTTCTCAGCAACATGAAACCTGGAGATGCTCCAAATGAGAGCACCTTAAGAGGTTCTTTGTACAGGAAGATTAAGAATTCAAATCTCGTGGCCTTTGACATCCGCGCATATGAAAGCATGGTTGAAGGAGACCCTGGGAAGACCTGTGACTACTTGAGAAAGATGACGAAGAAGTTCATTGAAAAGCAAAGGGAGGATAAAATGATCACGTAGAAAGAGAAGCCAGTCAAAGATCTCACAAGATTGCTCAACCTGAAGCCTGGAGCACCTGCCCCCAAGACAGAGCTTAGAGCGCTGGAGCACCAGGGCCGAAAGCCAATCCAAAGAGTCAAGCAGCACCTTCACTCGCAGAAGAAGCAACGCCAGTGAAACCGCAATCTTCTCCAAAGAAGAGAGTTGAAGACAAGGACAAGAAAGGTGAAGGGGATGAGAAGGGCAAAGGCAAAGGGAAAGGCAAACCGAGAGATCCGAGCAGAAGTCTAAGCCAGGACAAATGAAGGATTCCATGCAAATTCTTCTCCTTGCAGGTGAATGCAAGAATGGGAAGAAATGTCCTTACATGCGCAAGAAAGAGAGAGAAAGATCCACCACTCCGAAGTGTGCTGGAGTTGGGTGAGAGGTGAATGTACAAAAGGGCACAGTTGCATATTGTTTCATGATCTTAAGGCAAGCCAAAGACCAAAGCTGCCCCAGCGGATGGACCAAGGCCGAAACCAAAACCAAAGGCGAAGCTTCTCCTGTGATAGGGCACTGCGTTTCAGCTGAAGACTCCGATGATGAAGCAGTACCACATGAACATAGTTCCAGTGCAAAGAGAATGTACCGAAATGTCAGATTAGGCATGAAGGTGTGCTTCGATCATGTCAGTATTTAGTGGATGTTCACCCGGAGCCCAACAAAGTTTGGAAAGAGATCATCAAGAAACCATTACTGCCTGACCTGATCTTCTACAGAAAGGTCAGAAGCAGAAAGAACAATCTGGATTTGGTGCTCTACGCGCTCAGGCAAGCCTTTCAGCGTGATAAGGGTGGTGATCATCCCGGCTAGCACGAAAGGAGACGTAGCAATGGCGATGTCCTTTGATGACGATGAAGGATTAGTGTTCCATCACCAGGTCATTCCTCACGTGTGTGGAAGACATGAAGATGTGGTGATGGCATGGCAATCTCGGCGCCTGCTCATCAAGCAAGAATGAAATTCATCATGGACATTGGCTGTGGACATGATTTGATACCAAAGAGCAGAGTCAAGAAATTGAACCTCAACAACGTCAACGATGACAGTGACCCTATCTCGTTCTACACAGCCAATGGAGTTACATCGACTACGGGAACTGCTGAGATCGAATTCAAGGAGTTCAGATGGAAGTGCAGGCCATTTGTTCTCGACGAAACCCCATCAGTGTTGTCTGTGGGAAAGAAATGCATGGAAGAAGGATTCTCCTTCATATGGCCAGTGAAGGAATCAAATTTCTCTTCTCCTCCTTCTTACCTTCTCCTCTGGCTCCACATCCATGAGAGTTGGCTCACTCGGAATCTCTCTCTTGGGAACCTTCACGGACGCACGTTCACCCTCATCATCTCCTTCATACATGCCCATCTTCTTTTCATGTCTCCTCATCATCGGTACGTGTGCTGGGAACAGCGCGACCGGGATCTGGTTGACCAATTGGAATAGGAGCGAATGCCGACGTTCCTCCACTCAGGAAATAGTGCACCCTGCTCTCGTAACAGGCTGCCAGCTCAAAGATTCCTGTCCAGAATTCCATGAAGTCTCCTGCAATTTCGGTTTGCTTTCTTTCGACCACCAAACAGAAAGAACACATAGCGGTAGTCGTCATCTGACATGAGGTACTTCAGGTAGTCGTGATACGCCACTTGCCAGTTGCTATATCCAGTACTCGATGGATGTACAGATAGCTTTTACGATGTTCCTTGGTGTATTCTTTGACTGTCGATTGGTAATCTCACCCCTCCACGATGAGATGTTCCTTTCGTCAACTTTGACAACCACTTGGGCCCTTGGTCAGCATAGGCGCGAGCCACACGAAGCAGGAATCCCCATAGGTTTTCACGCGGGAGCATGCCCTTCAGGATGGGATGATGCTCCACAAAGACTTTCACTCTCAAAGCTGCAGTCCATCGGTTTTCCTTGTCTTTTGCCACTCGTCCATGATCTTGACCCGCCCAGTACACATATCCACAATTGAGACAGTGTGACCGGTTCTCGTCACGTTGGTGTCTCCTTGCACAGTGGCATCTTGGAGCTCTTTGATCACGGCATT